GTTTGGCTACAATTGGTTCTACTTCAATAAGCATTTAGGTTTTTCCTCGATATTTATCTATTATAAATAATATTGGTGTGAAAATTCTCTGTCTTTTTCTCTTTATATCCAAATCTGGCTTTCATGTATACCTGGAAGTAATATTGTTGGATCACAAAGAATATATATTTCAACTCAGTGACAATGATAGTCTTCTGAAATTCTTTTCCTAGTTTACACACCCGCCTATATTCTGTAGGAGTTCTAGTTGGCTCATAGCCTCCTTGATTCTTGATATACAATGGAATGCTTCCAAGAGCACTGTTCTCCCTTTTCTCTAGCTATAATTATCATTACTGGCAGTGAAATTATTTAGTTTAGCAACACAGACTGTTCTTCTCTTCCAAAGTGCATAGTGTACCACAGGATACACTTCTCAGGCAGAGAGAAATAGTACAGGAACTGAATACAGTTAAAATGTTTTGATGAATGCATAGACTTCTTTGTATGCCAAATTCCCTAACAGAAAATTCAGTCTGGTTCTAGAAAATATCTCATACTTTTAAGAAATCAATAAGAAATACGTGTCAAAATATTTTTTTCATTAAAATTATGTTAATCCCCCAAATATGAGTCTTTGTAGTCAACAAAACATTATGCTGAGGAATCCTTGCTGTCTCCCACATACAGTTTAAGAATGTCTTAGCCGGGGCCAGGGAGATGGCTCAGTGGAATAAGTGCTTCCCTGGCAAGCACGAGGGCCTGAGTTCAATCCCCGGTTCCACACACACACAAAAAGAATGTCTTAGTCACTGCCTTTCAAACATGACCACTTAAAGGATTTTGTGGCATCTCAGGAACCAGTATCTCTTTATCTGGATACTTACAAATATTTACCATTACAGATGAGAAAGAACCATCTTAAGAAGTCAATAAATTCTCAACTTGGGATCAACTTATTACTGATAATAAAGTTATTTCACTCTGAGCCAGAAGGCTAGTATTCAGAAAGTGAAATATTTTGAAGTGAAAGGAAAAAAGAACTGCCTAGTATATAACAAATTAACCTGCCTAAAATTTTAATTTAATTTAATTTTAATTTACCTACTTTAGAAAGTGTTCTTCTTGTTTTAATAACAAATGAGATCATAAAGACTTGCAACCACTTGGGTGCTCTTTAAAATGAGACCAAAGATTTTCTTGGAATAGGCAGATGTTCATCCAGCAGTTAGTTAACTATTCTTTATAAAGACTCCTCATTGAAACAGGCTGACTGTCCTCTGTAATAACTTACAGAAACTTTCTCCTTAAACTAGTGCTCTGTATTTCACATAATATGCTGAAGTTTAAAAAAATAATCTGCATGCTTTAGAACATATTTTCAATTTCAACAGATTATTCAAACACTATATGTAGCTCATGTGGAACTGCGGAATACTGCAAAAAGATTTCCATTATTTAAATGTTGATAAAAGCTATTAAGCTCCGTTATCTCATATATATGAAAAAGCCTTCTTTTATTGATCAACTCTTGAATTATAAATGTTGAGCAATGTTTTCTGATGGCTATATATGAAAATACTTTAAGATCAGAATATAAACAATATATATTGCTTCACACATCTTTTTTCTTCTTAAAAAGACATTTTTTGGTTAACTTTCTAATCTTGGCTACACAGTCAGTACTTTTGTGCTGAACAAAAATATGAGAAGACCTATTCCACAAAAAATAAAGAGCATCTTAAAATTCTAAAAAAAAAATTATGAAATTCACTATGGATGTCCTTGAAATATGAAAATAGAGTGAAATGAAGTGGGCATCTGAGATGAATACACACTTCTCAGATGAAGAAATACAAGTGGCAAATAAATAAATGAAAGCATTCAACCTTATTGGTTATCTGAGAAATGCAAACTAAAACAATACTGAGATTCCCTCTCACCACAGAAGGAATGGCTCTCATCAAGAAGTCAACCAATAACAATGCTAGAGGGACTGTGGGGAAAAAAGGAACCCTTCTCCACTGTTGGCTATATAGACTACTACAACCACTATGGAAATCAGTGCAAAAATTCCTCGAAAAACTAGAATTAAATGCCACATTCAATCCTAGTATTCACCTGCTGAGTATTTTTCCAAACGAACTGAAAACTTCATACCATAGCAATATGTGTGCACCCAGGTTGATAGCAGTTCAACTTGTCATAGCTAAATCTTGGAAACAACTCAGATGCACATCAACTGAGGAATGCATATAAAAGATGTGACATTTCTATACAGTGGAGTATTACTCTGCGATAAAAAGAAATAGACTGGAGGCTTGTATAGGTAAATGGATGCAACCATACTCATAAGTGAAATAAATCAGACCTACATGTGTAACCATCATATTGTCTCCGTAGTATAAGAACCTGAGAGACTAAGTAAGATCTGATATAGACAGGCTCATATCTGGTAATCCGAGCAACTAATATAAAGATAACAATATGCAACATAGCGACCATTGTTGAATTCCCATCATTTAGTTTAGTGAAATTTTGTAACGTTCCTAATGGGGTTTTTTTTGCGACTATTTTTTTGTATTCTCTTTAAAAAAATTTTTAAAAGCCTGAAGAGAATTTGTTTATTGAGCATTAATGTTAACCCTTCTGAATTAAGTATTCACTTACAAATTTTGTGACTTATGGATTTTTTTTTCTGCATTTAGGACAGGGTCTACAGGACCTCACTATCACTATGTAGATCGGACTCATGGTGATTCTGCTGTTTTCAGCTTCCCAAGTGCTGGGATTCCTGGCATGCACCACCACACCCAGTCTCAATTGTGGTCTCAGCACACCCTGCAGGGCTGGCGTGGCAGGCCAGGGATTGAAACCTGGCCACTGAGCTCTGCCTAAATTGGTGCTTTATAGTCAGCTGAGCCATCAGGTTAGCCCTGCTTTCTCCTAAATGGCCCTAAAATTTTTTTCACAGAACTCAAGCATGAAAGAAATAATTAACAAAATATTTAAGCAATAATTATATGCTTTACATGTAAAAAATTAATCCAAACAAATCATTTGAAAAATTTCTTTGATTTGGAAGTTTTAAGTGTCATCTCATGTTTTATCTGAAGCTTTTGTTTCATTTTTGTTTTGTTTCTATTTACAAATTGACAATGTACGAAGAATTCAAATAGACAGGAAAACTACTGCCTTAAGTAGAAGAGGTATAATTTGAGTTCATATCAGAACTTTCTAAAATGCCAACAGTACAAGCATATGACTTTTTCTTCTTTCCAAAACCTGTTCAGGTTCTCCCCTGACTAAGAATGGAGATCTGGGAAGCCTTCTAGAACTATCACAGTGTCCTAAAATGTTTTAACAGAAGTTGGTTGACTTTATTTCCTTTGCATACCTTGATAACACTGGGCTACACAGAAAACAAAGCCATTCAGTCAACAGTAATTTAAGCAGTAGTTATCTCTGGTCCTGGAAAGTTTGATAAAATTGATAACCATTAGAATCAGATTCTGGTCATACCAATTACTGCCATACTGTCTCTCAAGTAAATGTTTTTTAAAAAAGGGTAATAAATAAAAACTAGAGACAAGAAAAAAAGTCATAGGACTGTCCTGCTACAATGCTATATATGGTTAGATTTCTAAATTTCTGTGTAAAAATACATAATTGTTTATTCCTATTTTTAAAATATTTTTAAATTTTT